AATTTTTGTTTAATTTTTTTTATTTTTAGGAAATAACTAATGTTATATTGTAAAAAAGTCGAAAAAAAAATGTTTTTTTCATTTTGATGAAAATTAGACTATATTCAGAAACAATATGTGCAATTGTTCCTTTAATTTTTTTACAAAACTTTAATGAATTGGTCCGAGAAACCGGTTCGATGGATCGATTTAAAAATTAGCAGGGTTATAATAATATAAATTTATGTCCAACAGACTATAAGTCTATAGAGGACAATAGAATTGGGCGAGTAGATTAAAGTACATAAAAAAAATTATAACAATAATACATGAAGGAAAGAAAATTAAAAATTAACTACAAACATAACGAAAAGTAAACAAGAAGTTTGGCCTTAACTGGTTTAGAGCTAAATTTATGAAAGAAGATCCAAGCCTTTAATACTGTTATACAATTTAAAACATTTAAAAAGAGGTGAATTAAGATGATGAAAGTATTTGGGGAAGAGTAATAAAATGTAGAAGGACTTCGGTTGTTCATTCGAGGTACAATAATTTTAGAATGGTTCATGAGATAAGAGCTGTCAAGCTCACCAGACAAAAGTTTTTGAAAAAACACAACACAGAAAACATTCCTTCTACATAATAAAATATCTTCATTCACATAATTGAGAAGAACACTGGTCACAATGTCGAACAGGGATACATTGAACTGTAAAAACACCTAAAAACATTAGTCTCCCAATTAATATTTGCTAAAACAATGCAAAAAGTTACTTTTTTCTCTTTTCTTTAAATCAATGTACGTGAAAAAGAAATATTTTTAAAAAAATCATAAAATGATCTTATAAGACATTTATCTCAGTTTTTAACACTATTCTTATATTCTTTCTGTGGTCATTGATTGCTGAGGTATCTATGATCAAAGACAAAAGGATCTTTTTTTATTTAAAGTTCGATATCTTAGCTGCAAATTGACGTAAAGAGAATTTGAGAAAAGCATATTAAAGCTGAATAAACATGCTATCCGGCCTATGCATTGACTTAACTAAAAAAAAATCCTAACGTCCATGGACCAAAAACAAGAAAATTTAAATTTTTTTTCTTATGATAACACTTAGGATTGCGTTGTAATCGTAGCACAGAAAAAAAAATGCCTAAAGATCCCAAAACTAGCAACTTAAAGCTTCCAAATGTTTTTTTTTTAAATCTAGATACGAAAATTTTTAGATGAATTATAGTCTTAAAAATCACCAAAAAAATTAGGAAACATTTTTGTTCCTTTAATTGTTTGGACTAATGTATTATGAAGTGCTTTGGATTTCAACCAACAAATTTTAATAATAAATAAATATTTCTAAAAATGTGAGTGTGACTTACACTGCCTTTGATTACAGCTTTAATTTTGATGTAAGATTAAAAAAGGTTAATGTAAAACGTTTTTATTTTATTTTGTGATTCTAATTTATGCAGTTTTTGTTGCTTTCACGGTGTATTCAATTAGTAATGCCATTATAAGTACATTTTTGAAGTAAAAATATATAGGGTGCGCCAGAACTTGCGCCCCAGAGAAAATTTTCAAGTAAGGTAAGATACCAGGAACATGAAAAAAATGTTTAAAAAATTCAGTCAAAAAATTTTGACATTTATTTTTTGAAATTTGACATTTTTTTATATCTATTTAATGATACTGATGATCTTGTATACAGGTGCGCCAGAACTCGCGCTCCAAAGAAAATTTTCAAGTAAGGTAAGATACCAGGAACATGAAAGTGTTTAAAAAATTCTAGCTGTCAAGAAATTTTGACATTTATTTTTTGACATTTGACATTTTTTTATATTTATTTAATGATTCTGATCATCTTGTACATGTTTTTTTACAATTATTTAGTAAAGGGACAAAAATTTTGCCAATAAAAGCCACAAATAACATTGAACAGAGTTACAATTTAGGATACAGCTTCCTTGTTTCCTCTTTTAACAGCCTATAGCAAAAAAACTTGAAAAATTATTTTTCCAACAGAAATAAATAGTCAAAGTGCAAACTTTAAACCCTCATAACTTCGAAATTTTTATAAATAAAATTTTTTCAACATTTTTTCTATTTTCCTGGTATCTTACCTTACCTTTTATCTGGGGTGCGAGTTCTGGCGCAYCCTGTATAAATCGTTACTGTCCAAAAGTGTAAAAACTGGTTTTGTCTATTTAGCCCTGAAAGGGCTGATATTTTAAATTTGTATTGCAAAGCAATAAAAGCAAGCTCTTAAATAGACACATGTACTATTTACTGCTTAGTTTCTCTATAGTTAAGTGTGCCCATGATTGTTAAATAAATTTGTTTTTGTTTCAGAGATTACGGTGGTGGTGCATGGTAGGCACTCCATTCATGGCATTTTACATCGCTGGTTCGATTTTAGGCACAAATTTAATAATTTTAATCAAGCTATTTCTATTAGTGTGCTTATATATAATTTTACATTATGCCGGTCAAATTTTATACGACGATAGATTAATGGCACTTCTACCTCTTAGTATTTATTTATCAACAAAATTATGGATGTATTTCACATGGTTTATTTATATCATGCCAGCTACAAACATTCTAATAACAATTGTCTTCCTAAGTAGTTCAGGAATATTGTGGTATTGTTTTCTCAAGTCATGGCTAGGTGACGCTGGTGTCATCTCGACTTCGCAACAGCTAAGATTCAGGGTAAAGTAACATAATATTTTCATATTACTACTGTAAATTGCAACACGATTTTTATTCAGACTATAATTGAATTAGCCGAACAAGGTTCAGGAGGATTCGAACCGTCGACGTTTTGTTCGTCATGTCTTGTGAGAAGGCCTCTAAGATCTAAGCATTGCTCGGTGTGCAATAAATGTGTTGCAAGGTTTGATCATCACTGTCCTTGGGTTGCTAATTGTATAGGTAAGTAAGATAAATTTCTAAATTGTCGAAAATTAGCAAAGTGGCGGACCTTAATTCACAAATATGATGGCATCTTTATGACGTCATTTGTTTCTGTTTTTTTTAGTTCACTTTTTTTAATAATGGGTGGTATTAATAAAAATAAGCATTTACTTAGTAGGTTTTACTGAAAAGTAAAAGGTTGTGCAATAGCAAATTCTTAAATTTGTATTAATAATGAAATGCTTTTACTTATAAGCATTTGATTATGTCTTTAAGGAATTGTTTGTCAGTTGTCTCATCTAAAAAGCTTGAAATACCACTTTCTTCAAATAAATTTTATTTCTGATTTAAGCATTTCATAAGAGAAGTAAGGTAAATACATATACATACTAAAATATTCTGCAGTTAATTATTAATTATGCTATTGTAGAATGGCTGATGATTTCTCATCTGAAGATGAATCTTTGCCTGAGGAAAAAAAAGAATCCAAATTAACAATTATATACAGGTTGTTCCGTTTTTATTGTTACAAATTTAAACAGGTGATAGAATATTGAATACTAAGACAAAAGTTTGCTATAAACATGTATCGAAAAATGCCTGGTACACTCTTTGTAAACTTTAAGCTTGCGTACAACTTGAAATATTTTATGGACAAGTTTTAATTAATGATATTTAACAGAATTTGTTAGTACACAACCTGGATGGGGGCTAATATGTTTTTACTAATATTTCAGAAACCATTTAAGATAAAATTACAAAATTTGGTACAGATGATAACCTTTATACATCTAAACGAATTCAAACATCAAATGTCGAAATTTTTAATCAGGGGCGTACGAAACTGGGGGAGTTTAAGGTAAAAAAAATACCCTATTTATTTTGGCTTTAGTTTCTCGGTACTTTCAGCACAAAATCTTAAGTTCGATAGTTTATCACAGAAAAGTCTTTCCTTTGTCGATACGACTTTTTTTGTTTTGTTGTTTTTGAATAAAATTAAATTAAAATTTACGTTACACACCAATACAACATTCAAATAAATCAGAATTTACAGAATAATAAAAGCAAGAAATTCATTTTTTTAATCAACTTCAACTAATTAACATTACATTACAGTAACAATAATAACATTAATTAAATAAATTTGCCTAAATCTAAAGGAGTTGTTCAAAGTGACCACCCTTTTGGTCAATGCATAACTAAAGAAATTAAAGCCAAAGTAGATAGGGTATTTTTTTACCCTAAACCCCACCAGTTTCGGACGCCCCTGATTAAAAATTTCGATATTTGATGTTTGAATTCGTTTAGGTGTATAAAGGTTATCATCTATACCAAATTTTGTAATTTTATCTTAAATGGTTTATGAAATATTAGCAAAAACCTATTAACCTCCTTTCAGGGGGTGTAGCTCCCTTACCAAGCATTTTTCGATACATGTTTATAGGAAACATTTGTCTTAGAATTGAATATCCTATCACCTGTTTAAATTTGTATATATATACAGGGTGTCAATTTTAAAACTTGCAATCGGCAATATCTCTGGAACTAAAAAAGTTATTGAGAATCACTCAAAACCGTTTAGGTGGTTTTTAGGGGGAATCAAAATGGCATGGTAAGTGACGCTCCTCCACCGACCCTTCAAGCCACAGCCACCTTAAGTTGAAAATTTTAAATGGCACGACCCTACTTGTGATACATCGTTGGAAAGCCCATAACAAGTGCTTTTCAAAAATGACATACAACAGCCTATTTGGTAAAGCCTTTTTTCTAATTATTCAAAAACGAAGACATTAAATTTTCATTTTTTTATTATATTCAAGGGTGGGTGAAGGTGTGTCACTTATCATGTCATTTTAATTCCCCCTAGGAACCACCAAAACGGTTTTGAGTGATTATTAATAACTTTTTCAGTTGAGAGAAATTGCCGATTGCAAGTTTTAAAATTGACACAGTGTATAAAATATGTATATCCTGTTATTTTTAMTAAAAGTCAAGTGCCCTCTACTAAAATAAAAAAGAGGAAGCAGTTATGAATTAATATACATAAAAAACTACGCGCTAGACTGGGAAAATTAATACACCGATAAAAAAATAACAATTTAAAGACCACAATAAAAAAGAAAATAGATAAAAATGTAACTGGCAATAAAAAAAGCTAAGCGCCTCTTTTACTTTTGGATATTGTGCAAGGTGAACACGGAAATAATCCTACATTATCAAAAACACCTAATGGAATTAGGCTGCAAAAAGAAAAATTAGAAAATAATGCGAATGCGAGTATTTTAAGTATGTAGACTTTTTGCAATAAATATTTTGATTTTGCAAAAAATATTTGTTTATTTTAAAGAACAAATTATTACAAATTGTATAAAAAATGCATATTAAGGTCTATTAAGGCTGCATCTAAACGGCGTCTTTTATTTTCTCCTGTCAGTTGTCTTTAAGCATCCAAAGCAACCTCCTCTTTTTTCATACTATCTCCCAGAAAATGCTCCGAAAGCCACTGCACATTTTTTTCTATATAATTTTATAAAATCTCATATACGGAAATCTTGTCTACACTCTTTGTAAACTTTAAGCTTGCGTACAACTTGAAATATTTTATGGACAAGTTTTAATTAATGATATTTAACAGAATTTGTTAGTTGATAATTTTATAAGTCAAGCATTTAACAGACTTATATTTTTAGAAGCATTTGCTTAATTTTGTAAGCTTATCTTTATCTTTATTAATACAGAAATAATCATTACCTTATACTAATCAAAATTAAGAAAACCTTAGTTAAATTTTTCTCCTTATTTTTATCTATACGAGGTGTCCCAGCGGGTKGAAAAAATCCATTAGTGACCTTTAAATGGTGAAATCTAAAAAAAATTATATACGACATTGATAGATTTAGTCCTTCGCCTAAATATTGTTCACAATCACTAATGTAATATGCCGACTACTAACTTTTTAAAGGTTGGGAAACACATAATTAAATCTCATGAGGAGTAATAATATTGCTTCTCTTGGGCGGTAATATACAGGATAGCCAACCTTAAAATTACAAATTTCAAATTGTCAAGTTACGCATAATATTTTGCTAAATTAGTATTTAGTTGCTTTTGTAGCAGTTTTTCTTACTTCTGGGGGAGTACCCTGCTTCATTTCGACGATWTTAAATCAAATTCACACATCATTTCAATATTTTGACACCATTTGGATGGCCTACCACGTTTGGACCTTAACTTTGTTAGAAGTTTATTCTACTCAAATTTTTGACTGAAAATAATGTGATTGTGAATAAAATCGCATACAAATCTCGGTGGTAATGGCATTACCCCTTGTGCTTTATCCGATCTCGAGGCTAGCGCGTCTCGATTGTATACATAAGCACTCGCGGTAATGCCATATTTACCACCTTACTTGTAATGTACTATAAATATTATATTATATTCAAGGAATTGCTTAAAAAATCGTAAGTAAAACCCACTGGGTGCTTTTTAAAATTGCGTCAAAAAATGTCCCTTTAAAAACAATATTAACTTGTTTCAGTTTTTTTGCAAATTCTTTCTATGGTGGTTTAATGTCTTGAAAATATTGTTTAAATAGCTTTCATTTGATGTGCCACAAATGGRGTAGTGCCATTTAAATTTTTAAAGTTGAGGTTCGTGGGGGTTAGGGGGTTACTAGGGGTGCTTWAAAAATTAMATCAAAAATGTCTCCCTCGGAAACAAAATTGACCTGTTTCGGCGTTTTTACAAAATCTTTGTAGTTTCTGAGATGTTCGGGGTGGCTTGTTTTCATTGGAACACTCTGTATTTTTTAAGTGGTTAACGAAAAAATAGTGGGATATGTAATGAATAACAACTGAGTGTTTCTAATTACATATTTTTATTATTTTTCAATAATTTTATATTAATTTTCTTTGTGTTAATCAATGAATTCATTTCATTTTTTTGATTTTCTTTAAAAAAGTGCAATAAAAATCGGTCCTACGCATATTTAATGTAAAGAGGTTTAACATGTTTGAACACTTTTACTAAAAGTTTAAATTTTCAGGTGCTAAAAATCACAAATATTTCATCGGTTTTTTGGCCAGCTTAGTCATGATGTGCTGTCAGATGTTGTATGGATCTGTGAAATTTTGGCAAAACCAAAGCACTTGCAACGTCACAACGTCCGAAGGTTATTGGAAATTCGTGTTATCAATAGCTCAATGTGACACTTGGGTGGCTTGGGTCGCTGCTAATACTCTATTTCATTGCGTCTGGGTTTTCACGTTGTTTGTGTGTCAACTGTATCAGGTAAAAAATTTATTGTCTTTCTTATACGAAAAAGTAAAATTGTGTTTTTAAATAGAGCACAATTTTCCGATTTCGCAAGAATTGAAACAAATTGTAATGATAATTTTACAGATTTCGTGTCTTGGTATGACAACAAATGAAAGGATGAACAGAGGGCGCTACAGTTATATAATAAGTAATGGCGGGAATAGTCCATTTTCAAAAGGTCCTATAAAAAATATCCTCGAATTTTTCGATTGTACTTGTTTCGGAATTTTCAAACCAGAAAATAAGGACTGGTTGACGAGTTATGATTTAGATAAGAATATCGAACATCAACCACTTTTGAAAAACAAGGAGAATTTTCAATATGTGTAAATATTGATGAACAATAATAATCCAAAGCTATGACTGAGACATGTATGGTCAATTTGTAAAGTTAGCTCTCTAAGTGAAAACATTCCTTTGTCGAATTGCATTGCTTCCGTGAGGTGTCATGTAAATATTTTAATTGTAAATACGTACCATAAACATGATTAATTAAATTGATGTAAGAAAATAAACAAATTCTTCGCATCAGTTTTATTAATCTAGGCTTATTAGTAATAATGATTAAGTACAATAATTTTATCACGTATGTACATGCTTTAGCAATTACAGTCTAGTCAACAAATTTGGCATGTACTTATATAATGCAGTAAATGCACCAAAATTACACTAAATTTCAATAAGTGTCATTTTTATTCACAAAATTTATGTGTAAACTAAACAATGGTTGTGGATAAAATGAATATGCTATTACTGCATATTTAACGCGTTTGAGGTTGACATTTGTTCACAACTAACAAATTTTATTATTGGTCGAATAAATCAAAAATCTGTTTCTGTTTGTCCAAGTCAATTTTTTATATGAGTAGAGTAGATTTAAACTTGCCTTCTAGCTAAATATTTAGCTTGTTATTAATCTGTTCGTGGCTTTCTGTGTAAGCTTTAAGCGTTGTAGATAACATCACATTTTACAGTAATGTTTATATTTAAACACTATTTGCATTGTACATTGTACCTATTATATTTTGTATGTAATAATTACATTACATTCACTGAAATTAGTGCATTTTTATTGACTATAAACTATAACATTTTTTAGTATAATTTAGAATCAATTTAGTATAACACACTTTTAATAAAACGAAAACTGCAAAAATGGGAGTTTTTTAAATTGACCTATTCGCATAGTTTTGATGTGTTTTGTGCACATTCTAAATTTAGAAAAAAAATTTCTACAAATAATAAATATGCAATCTGCATAAAATCCGAACTCTACAAATTATTATAAATAGCTAATAAATATTGTGCAATAAACTGCACTAATCGTATTTTTTGACTTTTCTTAGTTACTACAAAAATTATTATTATTAATGTTCCGACGTTCTAAGTTTCTTTCTTCATTTTTATTTATAATAATAATTTGTTAAACTGATTTAAAAAATCAGGAAGTCAGTTTCTTTATCAGTTTTTAACAAAATTTTTGTTTGTTGGTTTTCTTTAGAAAACTAGGTTTTGTGATCGAAAAAATACATACAAATTTTCGTATGTACACAAGTTTTAGCTATTCTATGGACAAGTTATTAGTGCAGAGTGAAAATTAAAAACTCACCGAAAGATTGTTTAATTGGAATAATTTTTTTTAATAAATCCAAGGTACAAGAATATATTTTACCATTTTACAATATTGATCCCAAACTTTGCCATATTTCTCTTTACAATTCTTATTATCCCTACTAGAACGATCGATCATAAATAATATATCAAAATAGATCATAAATGCTGGTATACACAACATAAAACCTGTAAATGACCAGTGCACTAGAATATCACCCAAATAATTGGGATGGCGTATAATTCCCCACAGCCCCGAACAAAGAAGCTTCTTGTCTTTAATACCAGTTGGAATTGATTTGAAACCTTAAAAAAATATTATTTAAGATTTATCATTTATAAGTTTACTGTCCCCACCTGTTGTCGAAGGATTTTTCCTAAAGTTGTACTTCTGATTATTACTGATACGATATATGAGATAACCAGTCGTAAAAACGAATAAAGTAAGAATAAGTCTCCAATTCTCAAATTCAATTTTATTAGAAACGAGATGTTTTGTAAATATACTCATTAAAAATGGATAAACAAAGTTGCCCACACCACACCCAAAGCCAAATCCAACTTGTCTCACTTCCATTGATGTTTCGTAAGTGTATTCCATGAAGAGACCATCGATGAAATATATGAATTTAATTATACTCAAAACAACTACACTTTTGTTATTGAAATTTTCATGCAAAAACACACAGTCAAGTAACACCTAAAAGATGTTTTTATTCAATAAATACAGAGTGTTCCGTCTACACCCCACATTAGAAGTATTGGGAGTTGGAATAATCGCATTTATTTCAAAATTGGTACATAGCCATAAGCCATTAAGTCCTCCTAAATGAAAATATTTTCAAGATGGCGGCACTTCCGCTTATATGGGAAGTCGGTCTCAACTTTCTTATTTTAAATGGAAAGGTATATTTTTTACTTCGTTTTTGGATTAATCGGATTATTTTAAGGGAGTTTTCATCAGCTTTCCCTATACCTAAATTTAGCCGTTTTTGAAATATTTGGAGTTTTTCAAAAATTTTTGGATCTGCACCTTCCACTTTAAAAATCGGTAACTTTGCCATTTTTAAAGATTTTGAATTCGTTTTTTTTTTGGCGTTTGAAAGAGAAAGCTTAGATCCTTTTTCTGGTGTTTTCAAATTTTGAATAAAAAATAACATATCCCAAAATTTTAAGGTTACTTTTGTAATAATTCAAATACTCATAACTCAATTTTTTCAAATGAAATATCCCAATTTTTATTTTACTAAATAGAAGAGAATTTAATTGTGCATTGATCTGTATTAACATTCCCTATACATGAATTTAATAATTTTCAAGTTATGGACTTTTTTTTAAGACTACAGAAAATTTGTTAGTAGTCACACCCGTTTTCACATAGTTTGCTATGGACATCAAAAATGTCAAAATTTTCTCTAAACAAACGTCAACAGTAAATTACTATTTGACAAATAGTGCCAAAATATGAAGAATCAAAGTTATGCAAACTTAATTATTATTGATAGGTTCTACCATGCGATCATTATTTAAAGCTAAAAGTGAGAAAAAATTATTTTTGTATAATGAACGACATCATAATTTTGTTACACTCCATAAATAGAAAATAAATAAATTAAATCTAAATTTGAGTAGCTTTGACTCTCGATATTTTGGCATTATTTTTTAAATAATAAGTCGACGTTGAATGAGAAACAATTTTGACATTTTTGATTTCCATAGCTAACTATATGAAAACGGATGTGGCTAGTAATAGATTTTCGGCAGTTTTAACAAAAAGTCACCATAACTTAAAAATTATTAAATTTAGGTATAGGGAATGTTAATACAGATCGATGCAGAATTAAATTCTCTTCCATTTAGTAAAATAAAAATTGGGGTATTTCATTTGGAAAAATTGAGTTATGGGTATTTGAATTATTACAAAAGTAACCTTACAATTTTAGGGTTTGTTAATTTTTTTTTAAATTTGAAAACACCGGAAGAAAGATCTAAACTTACTCTTTCAAACGCCAAAAAAAGGAATTCAAAATTTTAAAAAATAGCAGTTACCGATTTTTAAAGTGTAAGGTGCAGATCCAAAAATTTTTAAAAACTCCAAATATTTCAAAAACGGCTAAATTTGGGTCTAGAGAAAGCTGATGAAAATTCCCTTAAAATAACCCGATTAATCCAAAAACGCAATAAAAAATATACCTTACCATTTAAAATAAGAAAGTTGAGACCGACTTTCGGTATAACCGGAAGTGCCGCCAAGGTATCTTGAATATATTTTCATTTAGGAGGACTTAATGGTTTATGGCTATGTACCAATTTTCAAACAAATATGATTATTCAAACTCCCAACACTTCTAGTGTGGGGTTTAGACGGAACACCTGTATACTACGTTTCATTAAAATTGAACACCAAGAAAACATTTTTTGGGTAATTGGTGAAAAATAGTTTGAGCAAAAGAGAGATCTAAATTTTCTTAGTGTTTCAATGCTAAGCAGTACACAAACCAACCATTGTTAATATCGCAATCCTGTTGAAGTATATTTTCAAGTCGAGAATACCAAGCAGTCGAGGTCTTACTTCTCTTCCAAGAAAAAGACTTTCAATTGCATTTTTGCCAATTATTTTTGGATTTAGTCGATCATTAGGTAAAGTGTAGCTTCGCAGATGAACATATATTGTCAAAAAAAGTCCAGACAAAAGTGCAGCAATTGTCAAATCAAACATATTTTTAGTGACAAAATCTATAACTTTGACACCAAATATTTCGAGAGTAAATAATACAAGCAAACAAGAAATTAAAGTAAGGCCTCCTGTTAAAACATCATAGTCTTGTCGGTTTGTGTCTCTAGGTACTTTGGGACCCCCAAATGGTAACACTGCTAAGAAAGCCGTGAAAATTAGATATAGGGTGTAGTACCCAAGACAATGTGTCAAGTTTGATGGTGTTTCCTTGAGATAAGTTAGAGAKAGGGCTAATACGACTGCAATAAATGCAACCATAGTTAACAACATGTTGATAGTTGCCCATCTTTTTTCCAAATTTGATGGCTTCTTTCCTAAATTAGAATGTCCCTAAAACTTTTGTTGTAGGTTTTATTGATGAGTCGTTAGATATTTACCATACTTTGTGACTTTGCCAGGTACCTAACGTAAAAAACGATTTTTCCTAAAAAAAATAATTTTATTTTAAGTACTTAGTTTCATTTTTGCGAAAGAGTTTCTAAATATAATTATTATAATCCTAAATGTTTTCAAGAGGTGTTTTATTGGAGCTTAACTGAAAAATACGTTCCAAAACACTACTTTAACCTAATTATTATTTTCATAAAAAAGTAAAACATGTACAAAATTATTTATACAGGGTGTTCCGTCTAAACCTCACATTAAAAGCAATGGGTATTCGAATAATCATATTTGTTTGAAAATTGGTACATACTCTTAATCCTTTAAGTCCTCCTAAATGAAAATATTTTTAAGATGGCGGCACTTCCGGTTATACTGGAAGTCAGTCTCAACTTTTTTATTTTAAATGGAAAGGTATATTTTTTACTGCGTTTTTGTATTAATCGGTTTATTTTAAGGGAGTTTTCATCGGCTCTCCCTATATCTAAATTTAGCCGTTTTTGAAATATTTGGAGTTTTTCAAAATTTTTTGGATCTGCACCTTACACTTTAAAAATTGGTAATTCAGCTATTTTTTAAAATTTTGAATTCGTTTTTTGGCGTTTGAAAGAGAAAGTTTAGATTTTTTTCCGGTGTTTTTAAATTTTGAAAAAAAAAATAACAAACCCTAAAATTTTAAGGTTACTTTTGTAATAATTCAAATACCCATAACTCAATTTTTCCAAACGAAATACCCCAATTTTTATTTTACTAAATGGAAGAGAATTTAATTCTGCATCGATCTGTACTAACATTTGCTATACCTAAATTTAATAATTTTTAAATAATGGTGACTTTTTGTTAAGACTGCCGAAAATCTATTACTAGCCACATCCGTTTTCGTATGGTTTGCTATGGAAATCAAAAATGTCAAAATTATTTCTCAATAAACGTCTTCAGTGACTCATTATCTGACAAATAGTGCCAAAATATGGAGAGTCAAAGCTACTCAAACTTAGATTTAATTAATTTATTTTGTATTTATGGAGAGTGTAACAAAATTATGAAGTCGTTCATTAAACAAAAATAAATTTTTCTCACTTTTTACCTTTAAATAATGACCGCCTGGTAGAACCTATCAATAATAATTAAGTTTGCATAACTTTGATTCTTCATATTTTGACACTATTTGTCAAATTGTAATTTACTGTTGACGTTTGTTTAGAGAGTTTTGACATTTTTGATTTCCATAGCAAACTATGTGAAAACGGGTGTGGCTAGTAATATATTTTCTGTAGTCTTAACAAAAAGTCTTGAAAATTATTAAATTTAGGTATAGGCAATGTTAATACAGATCAATGCACAATTAAATTCTCTTCTATTTAGTAAAATAAAAATTGGGGTATTTCATTTGAAAAAATTGAGTTATGAGTATTTGCATTATTACAAAAGTAACCTTAAAATTTTGGAATATTTTTATTTTCAAAATTTGAAAACACCAGTGTAACCGTACCATTTGTATTTAATTATTCGGTAAAATGTGTTGTCTATGCATTTTTGAAAATTTTATTTGACTCTGCGGTGACGGATCACGCCACAGTGGGAAAGGGGGGATTTTGTGTGTTTTTTTTGGGTTTTTCGAAAAGTGGGAAAACAAAGGAAGGTGTGGCAGTCGTCGTTAGGCAGGCGAAGAGTGAGGAGAATTTTGTTGTTTTTCCTTTTTGAATTAAATTTTGGAAATTGTTGGGATGTCGACTACACCCGGGGGACTTCCATCGAGGAAGAGAAGGAAGCGTCGTCGCTTGGAGGAGGCTGCAGAGGAGACCGTGGGGCTCAGGAAGATAAGACCGGACGCGACAGGGGGTATGACTAATTACGTCACCAAAAACGTAAATTCTGTATCGATATTACGTGAAAATTGAGCCTAAAATATTGTTTTCTTCATAATAATCATGATTGTTGTTAATTTGCCATGAGTTTTGTAAATGGATAATTCGTCTGGTAAAAGATTAAGTTTTCGGGTTTGTTTTATGTAACGCGAGATGAAAAGTTAAAACTTCTGTAGCTTCTCCTGGTTTCATGCATGCTGCATTGCGTTCTGTCTTTTACTGTTCTTTACTCTCCTTTAATTGGGCAATCATATCAGCAAAGTCCCGGTAACTGATAAGTAATAACGCTTCCACGTACACAGGGCACAAAAGAGGAGCTTGTCGAAAAAGGACGGTTTTTGCCCACTAAAGAGACCATAAGTCCAATACCATTGTCGACTCGACAGAGTTGTAGGGTTTCGAGACGCGATTGTTTGATTGATTGAGAGTCCTTGATATATGTTTTTCTTCCTTTCTCCTTCGAGATTGGGAGATGGCTACAGCGGTATCGGGAATTGTGTTGTAGATTTTTGGTACATTGGATTCGAGGTTTTCACAGTAAAAAGAAAAGAAACTGTTTCATAAGAATGCCTTGATTTGTTTTTCTGAATGTATTTATTAATTGTTCGAGTTTTTTTTTTGTCGTGACAAAATTTATTTGATAAATTCATTACCAGCGAATTTCCTATTGTTGTTTTATTTAATTGTTGAATTATACTTCATATTAATAAAACATTAGTGTTTTATTTCTTGATTATTTAATTTTACTCCCATCCGTTTGTTCAGTGCTTCGAGGAAACGACGAAGGATTATTACGAATAAACTAACAACCACAACGTAGGGTTATCTTATTTTAAAAAAGGGTCCAAAACTACTCCGATCACACGTCATGAGCAATTCTCCCGCTCAAATTTGAATTTTTCTAGAGCATTTTGAAATGCCGCCATTGAATACAAACTGTAAGGTTAGACCAGATAAAGGATCTAAGCTTTCTCTTTCAAACGCCAAAAAAAAAACGTATTCAAAATCTTAAAAAATGACAGAGTTACCGATTTTTAAAGTGGGAAGTGCAGATCCAAAAAATTTTAAAAAAACTCCAAATATTTCAAAAACGCCTAAATTTAGATATAAGGAAACCTGATGAAAACTCCCTTAAAATAACCCGATCAAAAACGCAGTAAAAAATATACCTTTCCATTTAAAATAAGAAAGTTGAGACCGACTTCCGGTATAACCGGAAGTGGCGCCATCTTGAAAATATTTTCATTTATGAGAACTTAATGGATTGTGGCTATGTACCAATTTTCAAATAAATATGATTATTCGAACACCCAATGCTTTTAATGTGGGGTTTAGACGGAACATTCTGTATGTATAAAATTATTTATAGAATTTTAAAATATTTTTTTCAAGTTCACTAAAAATTAAAAATTATCATTAAATGTTATTGTTTAAATTTATTGAACAAAATGTAATATAACATCTTCCAACACAGCAATAACTTTGCGGTAATGTTTACCATTAATAACGTTTAAATTTAAACAAGTATATGTTCTGGCATGATAATTATTTTTAATTAGAAACAAATAAATAAATATAACTGTTCCCATCTTAGCTGTACGGAACAGTCAAAGATTTTTAATTTATCTGGTTTGTAAGCAAACAAATTAATTCTTATTTAATTCTAAAAAATCAATATGATGTAAAAACCAGTAAAAGTTTGTTGCAGTTTTTGATTTAAATTACCCGCGGTGCTATTAGTTTGTCACTAACTAGGGATTTTGATTTTGCACTTTTAAACTTGTCAACTTTCCCTCCTCTGGTTTTGTTAGTTAGGTTAGGTTGTTCAGTTTGAATTTTGAGTTAATTTTTGGGTCGAAAATGGAAGAAGTAAGTAAGTGGCACTTGATTCTTTGTGATGGTATTATAACGTGGTTTTCTAGTGGACAAAAAGGAGGCTTTGAAATGGCAAAACCTATACGACGCACTGCTCAAGAAGTGTTTGAAAAACAATAAGGATGATGACGCAGAATACACTTTGGATAGTATTCCCGAAGATGTGCTTCCCTTAAAACATTATTCCAATTGCGTAAAAACTTCAACTCTTTCATCGAAACAGAAAAAACTTGTTGAGAAATTTGAAGTCACATTAAAAAGTTGTCTTCATGAAATGGCTTTGAAGCGAGAAAAAGCAAAAATTCTGTGCCTTGAAGATTTAAAGAGTGTTGATTTAGCATTTAAGGGTGAACTAAGAAGGTTGTATGGTTCAGTGGGATTAGAGGAACTTGACGAATACATCAAACTTTGTCTTATTCCTGATCAAGAAATTATAGATTTGATAGAAAATAAAATACAAAGTAATCTCAAAGAATGTCTTGTACGTGAAGCTGGATTAAAGGTGAATACAGTTGAATTCAGAAAATGGTTGATCAAGACTTTGAGAGAATGGCATCTTTTGCTACAGGCTGTTCAAGAGGATGAGCTGGTTGTTTATGCTCTCCACGTCCTCAAGAACGCTGGTTTCTAATTTTTTGTTATAACGAACTTCTTTCAAAATGAAGAGATTTTTTATTATGATTTTCTTTTTTGTTAACTAATAATAATTACCAATAAAACCGTTTATAGATACTTTTATTTAATCTGATTTTTTAAACCACATTTACATAGGTACATTCCAATCAAATTGAATGAAAATTCATGGAATGCTGCTTTTTATTTAAAATTTTACTTAAAAAAAGTAGACAAATGTAGGTTCTGATACAATAATTATTTTTGGTTTATGTAATTGAAAACAAATAAATAAATAACTCTTTAAAACTTAGAGCAATATGTAACATACAGGATAAGTTTAATTGGTAGAACTTTTAAGAGATGACAGTAGCGGTCAGAAGAAACAAAAATAATTTAATTTAATTTATGTGAATGTTTAAATTATCGTATCAACAAGAAATTACTCCCTAGGATTTAGGGATATTCGTGAATAGGTTGGTTTGTGGTAACAAACAAAAGATATTGTAATTACAGATTTCTCAACAAGAAATTACCACCTAGGATTTGAACTTTTAGGAAAATTACGTGTTTCATGTTGTTTGTAACTAGAATTTTCAGAAGTAATTTTGAATGCCTAGGATTGGTTACTCCTAGTTGACGTTTTCTGTCAACTATCAATTGAATTATCTATACAAGCTGACAGGTGACTTAACTTAAATTTTGACACTAATTACGRTATCTTTTGTTTGTCACCAGAAACCAATTTAACCAAATTTATGACAACCTATTCACGAATATCGTTAAATTTTAGGGTTGATACAATAATGTCAAAAAATTAGGTTAAGTCACCTGTCAGCTTGTATATCAATTGATAGTTGACAGCAGGTTGACAAAAAACGTCAACCGTCAACAACAAGGGGTAACCAATCCTAGGCATTCAAAATTACTTCTGAAAATTCTAGTTACAAACAACATGAAACACGTAATTTTTCTAAAAATTCTAATCCTAGGTGGTAATTTCTTGTTGACAAATCTGTACTAAAGTCGCAGTCAATTCATAGTGTCATAGTTAACTTATTGCAAAGTTGGTAGCCCATAGCCCGCCACCTCTAGTATGTGGGTAGTCTCTACAAGATGATTAAAAAATGTCAGACCATCTCTTGGGTGGTGATACAGGACATCCAACTGAGTAAAATGTTTCCATGACAAAAACTTGTTTGAGTCGTTGTTTTCATGATATAGCTCTTTAAAAATTAAATTTTGGATTAAGTTTTTGGCCGTTCCAATCATTATGTAATCTTAAATTTTAGTTAGCGGAAACACCAGCTCTTGTAAGATTGAACCTGTTGAAAAAAATCACCTATTTGAGTCTTATTGTGTTAAAAATATTTTACAAACTAGCAAGTTTAACAATAAATTAAACCTAACAACATCGCAATCAAAAAAACTAAGATTGAAAATCGACAGTTCTGTTTTTTTTTCTCAAGAAAAAAGCTTGGAACAAAAATTTCAGAATTAATTTTTTTCATTTCATCACCGATCGAAAGTTGGTCCGACATTTTTTAATCACCCTGTATGTTCACAGCAAAAGTAATTTAAATTGTGTCAACACTTGTGACAGGAGCAGTAGATTTTAATGATTTTATTATGTGAAGTATTATAACCCAACTTTTTCAAATAGATATGTCCCAAAAAAAAACAATTAGTTGTTTGAAGTCGGATTTACACAGGAAAGTGGCCTTTACWAAAATTTCATTATAATCGAACAAATTCCGGAGACAAAATGATTTTTCTTGTGATGTTGGCCTTGATTATCAAATTTAAACTTAATAATTTTATAGAAGTAATTATCATTTATTTTCGAGGATAAACATTAATTGAAACAACTTGTTATATTATCTAACAAATTTTGATAGCTAATGGATTTCTAACTACTATAGGTATTTATTCTTTTTATTTTAATAGTTTCATTGTAACTTATGTAACATTATATTTAATAATAATTATTACCTATTTCCGTATTGCTAAAAATATTTTGATTTTTATTAGGAAAAATTGGTAAAAAATTGTATATAAAATTTATAACCTTATGGATAATGAATGCAATAATAATTACCTGAATTTACTGTCCTTACACTTGTTGCTGAGATAATTTGTAGGCGTTTATATTTTTCAAAATTCAAAAACTGCAATAAATACTAAAATGGAAAATTTTTCTGCTCTTTGAACCAATAAGAATTTGTTAACACTGTTACTAATGTACTTATCTCTAAATAGATATCACTTAACCTTATACTCCAATAATAGAAATCTTATTAAGAATTAAATATTTGTCAACTCAAGTGTTAATCATTTAAACACTATTTGTTTTTAAATAGTTATCCACAAAACATCACTTAAAAAACATAACTAATACCAATTCGCTTCTGCTGTAGGCATAATTTAAACATCAAGTTAACTGTGGTAATCTTGTTATAGTCCATTTTAATCAATTTAACCTTTGTTAAGACTTTGTAAAACATACATAAAACTTTGTATGTAGCACGAGCACAATTAAATATTTTTTAACGAAATTTATCACGAAATTAGTTTGGAGAAAAATAAAACAAAATACTATGTAACATTAGGTGATTTATTATTTATCAATTTCAACAAATGCTATTTTCTATAGCCATTACAGAATCTAATAAATAACAAACTAAAATTCATTATACATTTTATATACATCAGCTTCAGGAACAATTTTAACACTGTACAGAAAATAATTGAAATGCCTCTTTATAGATAGATCACAACAAAAAGAAAAAAGGTGTCAAGAAACAATTTATTATTGATGCAAGAAATGTGCATATTTAATGCGATTTTTATGACATAATCGATAACATTTATTTGAAATGTGAAAGAAAATCAAGAAAGATAAGTGCTCCCTCTTTAAGTACAGCCTATTTTCATTAATTTAAATAATTGATTTCTTCAATTCTTTTCTACTTGACAAAATCATCAACTTTCTTGCGCATTACTGGAAGTATTTACACTATATATAAATAAAAAATAAAACAATAAATAAAATGTGCGCTAGAAAACGAAAAATTATTGAAATAAAAACCAAGTCACTGTTGTGTCATAATCACATGAGCTAAGTGGTTCAAAGTATGTTTTTTTTTTGTTGGGGCGTCGTCTTACATCACATACATTATATTCGAAAGCTCTATATTCACCATCATGGCAAACTACGATTTATTGTCCCCACCTAAAAATCAACATTTTTTTCTAATAAAAATTACATCAACGAACAAAGCAAATAGGATAATCGTTAACTTACATGCTGTATCATCTAAGTGTGTTTTAACGTCGCTTTCCGATGTCATTTCACCCCCTCTCTCGTTATTATTCGCTGATTCTTGACTACTGTCTTCTGTCAATCGAAGAGCAATTTCCAAATCTTTCAATACTTCTGTTTCTTTGGGTTCGATTAAAGAGAAACGATGCTGAAGCGCCGTCATATGTGCGAATGTTAGATTTAAATGCGCATGCAAACCTAACATAACCACTTCTTTAAAATGAGCCGAATATAAATGCGCCACRACGTGAAACAACAGACGGACGATTTTTCGCACTATTGACTCGAACGATGAAGGAAATTCATTTGCTAAAATATATATCGAGTTAGCGAACACACGATACGAGCGTAGCGAGTAGAATAATTATATGCAGGATATATCCTTACCGTATTTTGTAGGAAAAATATTCTCATCTGTTATAGTTTTCTGAATAAATGTCATTACATAATCTATATATTGTGGAGCAGCTACTCTTGTTTTCTTCCCTTTTTCGTCGAACCACAAGTAAGTCCTTTAATTTAACAAATTTGTATAAAAAAAAATTATAGTTCTTTTGACACTTACCTTTGACCAGGACCAGTCATATCTGGACAACCAGACTGAGTGCAAAATTCACTAATTGTACCATAAACTAAATTCACGTGATCAAAAAGAGCCATTGCTGCAACAAAGGCAGTATATTACAATACTATCTCAACTTTTTTCTAATTTAATGTGATATTTTTGATGACGTAACCTTAAGCCCACGGCTGTTCATCAAATTTTTTTACAATTTGACTAGTTATGATTGTGGGTTACAAAATAAAAGTAGTTATACTCTTTTTCATATTAATGTGCATCAAGTAGGTTGTAGAAGTCTAAATGCATCTTTAACTTAATACAGGGTGAATATAAAGTAGGGAACCAAGCGGTTTTATTTTTAATCATTTGTGTCCAGAAAATAATAATTAATATAAATTAAAGTAATATAAAAAATCTGATCGTATTTTCAGAACAAAATTTTGTTTTGTTTTTGAGTTATGCGATTTTTTTTTGTCAAAATTGCAATTTATGTGAAAAAATTAAAAAAAAAAAAAATTAAATATAAAGCAGGTAGTTGTAATCCTTAGAGTATAGCTTTTATGAGAAAAATGATTTTATAGTGGGTTGCCATTTAAAAAAAAATTTTTTTTGTAGAACTCAAAAACAAAAGCAAATTTCGAAAATTTTTATTCTTGTTAAATCATCACATTTTTATAGTACTTTATCACTAATAAATTAGTTTTTTCAAAAAATAAATAGTTTAAGCAAAAATCGTTTGGTTCCATACTTTTTATTCACCTGGTATGTGCTACCCTATGTTAATTACGTTGTTAATTTTAATTATTTTTTGCTACCTAGGATACAAATTTAAAAAAATAATTTGTAGGGAAAATTGGGGTTGATTGTTTGAATTTTTGCATGGTACTTAATAGTAAGAGATAAAGTTTACGCAAACATTTTACCGAAAACAAAAATAAATAAAATTATCAGCAATGACACCAATTTTCGCCCCGCCCCATGTTTTTCATAAATCTGAAAGATCGGTTATAGAAATTTTCACTTATGGCGTTTCCAATGTTAAATTTTACGTGTATAATAAAGTTCTTTGAAAAGATATCAATGTCGTTTAAAAACTCTATGTATACCCCATTTTTTAATTAAATTCGAAAGACGTACTTATGACTATCTCTTTTCAGCAGCCTCGTTGCTCTGTCGCTACGTATTTGTATAAGATCGGTCAAGCTATTTATCTCACTTTAACAAATGCAATTAAAGTAACGCAGGACTAGTGACGTACATACGTCAAAAGTATTCTTGCCGTCAAGTAGGTCTTTTTTTGTAATTTCATTTTTAATGGGGAATGTTGTTTTGACTGTTTTTGACTTTAGTACGAAAATGTCAGAAGCTGTCAAATGTCAAAAACAGACGTAGGTCATGTCGTGTTCTTGATTGACACTTCCCCCACCAGCCAATAATAAAAAAATGAACTTTATCTTAGAAATTCTATCTACAAAATGACGAAAACATTTTTTTTTTWAAATCGATTACTTTAATTATGCCTACTTGAATAAACATGTTTGTGAAAAAATATACAGGGTGATTCTCAAATAGACCGATAAAATTTTATCACAGCTTCCCAAGGATAAATGGAGACGATCTGTACCCCTTCAACATTTTTATTATTTTTTTAGGGGCAAAACCCCCTTGATCCCTGTCACTTACGGCGTTTATGAATTGTTGCAATGATCAAGTACATTTATCAAATTAACCATGGTTTCCACTACCTATTCACAAACACGTCAGTTTCGAGCATAACTTTAATAAATTTTATTTCGAAAACGGTTAAACAAAGAGTTTTTTACTATTTTTTTCCAGCATGTACTCATTTGCTACTACCACGGCAAAATTTTTGTCGGTCTATTTCAGAATCACCCTGTATCCACAAGCATAAAATCTCTGGCCTATCAATATATATTTTTTCGGTATAGCTGGATAATTTTACTGTCTTTCTATTATTAATTGTAATAGGAATGGTGGGTTTAAACGCATTAGTTAGATAAATACCTTTTTCTATTTTGCGTTTAGAACAAGTCTATTAAAGCACCCAAATGACGTCATTTGGGTGTTTTAATAAGTCGTTGGCGTTAATTTAATTTTAGTGACGGACTTTCTTCACTATTCATTTTCAAATGTGAAAATAAGAAACTGACAATTCAAATTAATTTTTTGTTTTTATTTTTCACAGCCGCCTAAAATTATTCCACATAAATGTCACAAACCGTCATAAAATTCCCTAGATTTAAAACTTTTGTCTTTTAATTTATAAAATCATATAAAGCGACAAAATAGAAAAAATAGTATAAAACACTCGTTGAAGAAGGCTCATTTGTGCGCGTAGCAGCGAGTTGAGGAATTTCAGATTCGTGCTTTCTGCAATGTGTTTTAATATACTATTTTGTCAATTTATTCTGTTTTAATAAAAATTTGCTTTCTATACCAACACTTACCATTGTAATGACATGACTTTATAAACTTAAATTTACAAGATTCTAGAAATTTACTTTTTGTAGTTTACTTTTGTTTTGACATATTATTAAGACGTGACGTCTTAACAGTCAAAAGGAGAATAAATCATTTAAAATTACAGGGCAAATTACAAAAAGTAGTATGAAAAAACTCATTTCATAAGATCTCGAAGCACTCAGTTTTTAAAATAATTCGTGGCTGCGTCACTAGTTTTTTGAAGTAGAAATCGTGCTTTAAGACTGGTCTTATGAATCTTGATTTTTAAGTATATGGAAAAAAAATATTTGGTTTAGTGTTCTGGACTGGTTAATAAACACAATTTTCGGGCAACGTTTCGATTTTATTTATACAGGGTGTTCGATACAAGTCGCCCCAGCCGATAACACCTAAACTTACTTTTTTTTTCAAGAACTAAATTTTCAAATAATACTATTCATTCCTCTTTTTCTTAGTAAATGCATCAAATTTTTTTGGCACATCCGGTGTAGCCGGAAATGCTATCAAATTTAGTTTTTCAAATGGAACACCTATGTTTTTTTGTTCGAAACAATAATAATTGGCATGAAAAATACGGTAAACAACTATTTATTACATTTTACTTTACATAATGCACTCAGAAAACAATTTAAATTTTAGAATTTTATTGACAAATTTTGCAACGTAGGCGGATATTACTTGTCATTCATACAAAAAGCAATATGCTTGGATACCGTTTAATTGTTATTTTGACAAAGCCTAATTTGTCAATAAATCTTATTGAGATTTTAAATAATGGATGATAATAATTACGACGAATTGGTAGATCAGCTTGAAGTGTTTTTAAAGAGCAATAAAAATAGAGCGGAAGCTGAAAGACAGTATAGAGAAAAATACCCAAATAAAGTTCACCCAAATCGTTGGATATTTAGTCGAATTGAAAAACAACTGAGACGAACAGGTTCGCTTCTTAAAAATAAAAAAACCTGTGTTTTTTGTGAAGAACAAGAAAAGAAAAATCTGAATGTTCTGTTATCAGTCGAAGAAAATCCAAGAGTTTTCATATGAGAACTCGCTCATCAACTGACAAATTAGATTTGTCAAACCAACAATTAAGCATCTAAGCATTTTTTTATTCACACCTTTCCTTTAAAATTAAAAATCAGGCTACGCGACCAATTTCCTTATAAAATTCTAAGATTTAAGATGTTTTCTGATTGTTACGCAAAATGTAATAAATAGTGGATTACAGTATTTTTCATGCCAATTATTATTGTTTCGAGGAAAAAAACATAGTTGTACTATTTGAAAAACTAAATTTGGTAGCATTTCCGGCAATACAGGATGTCCCAAAAAAATTTGATACATTTATTAAGAAAGACAAGAATGAATATTATTACTTAAATATTTACTTTTTGAAAAAAGTAGTAAGTTTAGGTGCTATGAGCCGGCGTCTTGGACCGAACACCCTGTATCTTTTTCAGGCTATCAATTGCTTTGGACGGGTAGCGTGTTCGGGCATTTGGGTTCGCACACGCTACTCGTGTTTATTAACCAGTCCAAAGCACCAAATACCTTTTTTTCATTTACTTAAACAAAATGGACAACAAAACATCAAAAATTCATAATCAACTTGTTTTTTAATACAGACTGAATTATAAAAAACGCCCCGAGCTATGATTTTACTTATGATTATACTATGATTTTGATTATACTATGATTCCTTTTAAAAACGTTTCAAAACTTCTTTAATTAAAATTATTGAGAAGTTTTTTGTTACCAGTCGTTTGCTTGTCTTAGATAAAATGAATAAAAATGTTCTATTCTTTCTACAGTTTACTTTATTTTCTTTTCAATTGCCTAAAAACAAAAACTAGAGAGAAATAATAAATAGTAAGCTTGTTGAAAGCCAATTTAACGAGGAATCGAAAATAATCAAATACTCAGGTATTCCCTTTAGAAAACTGAAATTGGTACTCGGTATGTAATATATTATTTAAAAAATTATAATAATCAAAATTCCATTTTCGATTACATCACATGGCTACGACCCACCACTTGAGTACCTATCAGCCTAGAATTTTTTTACCACAATACAAATTAAATTTTCAATGTCAAATGATAAAAACTTTCTCGACTCTTTAAACTACTTACTATGTGATGCCAACCATTCATTATAGTCTAACCCAGCAGGCAAATCGACCAACAGTCTCATATCCATATCTGGAAGTTTTCTTTCAAGAACAGTAGCCTCTAGATAAAGCTTGGAATCGCTAGAAGATGATGATTCATTTCCTTCTTTTTCCTTGCGTCTTGCTTTTCTGAAACAAAAACAAAATAATCACTACAAGTGTATCAACTCGCAAATACCTGCAAAAACAAGTAATGGTCTGTTCGGTATCTAAAGCCAAAACACGGACAGTGTCTTCACTCTTTGCTTTTCCGACTATTCGACCCAGCCACATTATGGGGGCTTCGCATAACTTATACGTTCAACTTGAACTCTAATAGGATTCAGCGTCATAAAACATGAAACCAAATAAACGCTGAACCGGATAGAACAATCTATGGGTTTTTTAATTAAAACTGTGGCCGTAAAAACATAATTGCACCCCGATTAAGTAATTGAACTGCGAATTTCCAGATTTATCTAGTTAATGATGGTTATTACTCACCCCATGAACCAATCCACGGTATCGCGGAGATATTCCGGTAAACGCTCCAGTTTGATTAATTCAATGCCACTTTAAGACCAAAGACCAAATTCCCACCTAAAAATCCAAATTTCGCTTGAATCCAAAGAGATTTTTTACGTTCGCCAACCAAATAACAAATGTCAGCAATAATACACTTTATGTTTCGACTGTTATTGCACTGAAACGAAACATACGTTGCACTATTCGTACTTTAAACCGTTTCTATCAATAAAGTTCAATCATTTGAGAAAAACCAAGTCATTTTCTTCGTTTGCAAATAACTCCATATTTATTATCTGACACTACTGCCAACTCACCCTAAATCCAAATATTTGTATTATGACTTTAAAACACACAGCACGTACACAATTTAAACAACGTCATGATACTAAACAAATGGACTTAGTACTTGCTGATTTTTAAGCAAGTACTAAATCAATTTCTAAAATAAATTTAACTGCAAAATTGATTTTCACCAGCACAATGTTGGCAACGATTATGCGTCATGTCATTTGTCAATTAAAAAAATAACTAATCGTAGTACTTAATCGTTATTGTTTATATACAATACATTTCTTTGCGTGTATTTACAATTTTTAATCAATTCGTGGGCTTTAGTAGCTTTAAAAAAGCACAACGATTCTAAAATACAAGATTAAAACAATCTACATTTTTATTAGTCAGCTGTTGATCCGCGTCCTTTCTTTAGCGACATCATCAACCTGTCAATAATATTCAGCAAAATGTTTTTCAAATAAAACACTTTTTTGGACAATGTTTATTAGTCTAGTATAAATGGGTAAGTGAAATTTCAAAGTGGCTTTTCTCGTCTTAACTATACATTTCAGAGGAAATACCAGATGTCTTAGATTTGTCAAACAAGAAGCTCAAAAAACTCGCTAAATTCTCCCCTCAGGAATCTCAAGTAATAACAATATTAATTCTCGATGATAACGAATTGCAACGTTTAGATAATATTGACTCGTTGTTTCGGCTGCAGAAGGTAAAGTCGTACGTATAAGAGCGTTTTTTTGAAGGCCCCATTGTAGCTGTCAGCTGTTCGTAACCAACTGTTACGTATGTATGGAGTATGCAGACTCCATTCTCTACACACTTTAAATCTCGCTCATAACGGAATACTCACAATCGAGGGGCTAAAGGAGTTGGTTAACTTGAAATGGCTTTGCTTAGCTGGAAATAGTATAAAGACCATTGAACATCTCAATACTAACACAAATTTAGAGCATTTAGATTTGTCAGAGAATAACATTACTCACATAAATGACTTATCTTTCTTAAAAGATTTGAAGGTATTGTTATTTAGTGTTTTGTTGTGTGATTGGTGACTGTTTTATTTTAGGAGCTTTTGCTACACAATAACAAAATTAATCATCTAAGACAGAGTGATCGTTTTCTACCTACTAGTCTAATAACCCTGACTTTAGCTAATAATAACATTGAGGATTTAAATGAAATTTCTCAGCTAGTTAATCTTGTTAATCTTCAAAACATTTCCATCGCTAATAACCCATGTGTTAACATTGGCAACACTAACATGTATCCTTTGCCATATCATTTGCTATTTTTTTACCATATTTTTTATAATTATTTCTTAACTTAAACCAGTGGTTTTGATTACCGTCCATTTGTTATCAATTGGTGTTTGAACATTAAAACAATTGACGGTTATGTTGTTGATGCTATTGAAAGGTAAACGTCAGAAAATTTCTTTAACACGTATTTATTTTGTTTTCAGTTTGAGGGCTGAATGGTTGTATTCGCAAGGCAGAGGTCGTCATTTTCGAGTCGGTGATCAGAAAGATCTTGTTCAGTATTTGGCAAGTGTGTGTCCTTTGACTGGTGAGGCTCTTGAAACAGAAGAAGATCGAAAGTTACGATTAATTCTAAGTAAAGCACAACATCACCAACAGCAATTAAGGGAACAATCMACTGGTGATTTAGTTGTGTTTATATCAATTCACTTATTTTTATTTACGATTTTAGGATCTTCAAACCCTTCACCTTTGACAAGGAAAAAATTGCATGGTGCTAAACATTCTCCAAGACTAAATTGTAAGTATTTATAGTCATTAATGCCAAAACAAAACTTGTTCGTGATTTATTTTAAATGTTCTGTCGCTTACACCACTTTTCTAGTTTATAACCCGACATAGTAATGAACATAAAAAAAATATACAGGGCGGTTCAGATAAGATAATGAGCCTGACGATCTGGCGATGCAACCCAAAAAACAAATTTCATTTACGTTTTGATCTAATTTTAATTACGATTTGCGTTTGCAATCCAAGTTATCATATGTTGCTTTGACAAGCAATTTATGATTTATATAGAAAAATTGTTTACTACCTACCTTTAATGTTTCATTCGTTTATACATTTTGTATTGGGTTTACACCGAAAAGACTTCCATAATTTCTCTATCATTCCGTGAGATCTGAATCGCACTAATAATCGTTCTCTGCACTGATGTCAGAGTGACACAAGATGATAACTTGGATTCAACTTGCAAATCCTAATTCAAATTGGATCAAAGACGTAAATGAAATTTGTTTTTTGGGTTGCATCGCCAGATCGTCAGGCTCATTATCTTATCTGAATCGCCCTGTGTGTTTGTTATATGTATTATAATTCTTCTAAATTTAGAAATGCAAACTAGCTATATCGGGCAAATCCTCCCGGATTTGCAAATGTTTTGTGGAAGTAGTCGTTGGGACAGCCGCTCGCTCCTCGTGTAGAACTCGTACTATCTGATTTGAAAACTGTGGGGGCTTTGCTCCTCAAGTAGATTTACTTCGCAAATATCGACATTGTTGGGGGCTTCGTCCCCGAATAGTACTCACACTACCTGATTCGAAATTGTCGGGGACTTCGCCCCCGAGTAGAACTCACAATACCTGATCCGCAAATGTTCGACACTGGTTTTGCATCGTTTTCACCGTACATTTCATGCATTATTTCCGTCATCTCAAATTTGACTTCCTTTTTCGGCCTCCGTCTAAAATTAGTGATTTTCCAATCGTCCAAATCGTCTTGAAAACACCCATTTGCGTGTCTTGGCAAGAAAATAAAACAGGGTTTTTAAATGAAAGTTTTTGTATTGGTAGCATTGAGTGACACTGAAATGTCAAGTCTGTTCTATAGTTCTCTTTCTGTTACAAATTCTGTCCACTGCCACTTTTCATCCAAGATTCAAGCCTAAAACAGCTTTCCACACAGCCATCAAATCACCTTTTGGAAGTCTGCAAAAACGATKTAAACATAACCTCAAACCATGATGAATGACTAACCGGTGAAAACTGATTCCTTCGGGCCCAAATCTCGTCGTATTTCTACACCATTTCACTGCACACGACATTTTGACCGAAAAGTCGAATTAGAATGAATCGAATTTTAAGAAAATTTTCAGAAGCCCATTTCTTCAACAAATCGTATTCTTTCCAATAACRATTGGTMCAATAAATTTTGAATTGCAGCTTCTGCCACAWWTTGAATATGCTCTRGCGTATCTTGTGTATCCATTTTCAACTAATGCAATTGCATTTTCTTCTCAAAAGTCTTAATTAYTTTACAAATGTCATAAAATTATTTTAAGTTTAAATCATTACACCGTGGAGTRAGTGCTRCCAATRGAAGAAAAATTAATTCCCTAGCCGGAGAAAATTTAACAATAAATTKGTTTTAATTGAAAAATGTTGTCGGCCGAAAAAGTTTTGTGTATCACACGGCCAGAAACTGTTTTCCAAGTGCTTGCAATTCCATTTTAAGCAGGCTGATCAATGCCTACATTCGGACCTCTGACCATTCGTCCTTTTGAGCATTCCCACCTCTGGTGTGTTGCACCAACTCGAACTCGCACTTTACAAAAATACAACACCGGTCTTTGCACAAATACTAATTACGTCACTCTTTTGCCTTTTTCAAATCACACACAACGTTTATCACCGTATTACCGAGGTTTTCTTTTGATTTGCTTAAAGAGTGTGAACCATCACATTGACGCGAAATGACAACAACTGACAGAAGTGTCAAATTGATTGAAATTCATGGCACTCTTGGTGCATTTTTTTTGTTTAATTTTCATTTTTATGGATTTTTAGCCGAAATAATATGAATTAACGAAAATCACCCGTCCGTTGCAGTAAAGGATGAATTGAATTTTCATTTTTCATCATCATTTATTGTCTAAAGTTTGATATATTTCGCTATAGTGTCTAATAAAAATTGCACCGTTCCCCTTTCCCCGCATTGTATGAGAGAGACGGTTAATTGAACGTTTTACATGAGTGTGATGCGATGGAGCTATCACGCTTTAGTAAGATATAATTTGCAGTCAGATTAATATGTACAGTAAATTTTCTTTATGTTTTTTCTGTATTATTAATTTAAATAACAGCCTGTGGAGTTTTAGGTAATTTAAAGAAAAATGATAAGTTTCTGTAAATTACCAGAACTAAACAGAATAGAAAATATTATACAGGGTGTCCCAGCAAGTTGAAAAAGTCCATTAGTGACCTTGTAATAGGAAATTAAAAAAAAAAGGTGTAGGACATTGATAGATACTAATCTAGTGCATCACCTAAAATTAATTTCAACTAAACAACATGTCCCAAAAATAAGTTACGATACCAACTAGTGTTTTTTTTTTTAATTAAATACCGTATGTTTCTTTGCATTCTTAGTTGTAGCCTTTCAAACAATGTTTTTACGCTAAACTTTTATTAGTCGATTTCGCTTAGTTTTAGAAATAAGACTTTTTTTGACGAAAACATGCACTATTTAAAAATTTATTACAATAAAACTAAGAGAGCTAAAGTAAATTTTTTCTTACTTCTGCAAAGAAGAAAGTACAGAATTTAAAGCTTTAGCATTTTTTTAGTGTTTTGCATTTGTAAAGATTAATAAATTAAGAAGTTTGTTAAAAGTTAAATAAC